CAAAATGTATGTTAACAGGGAAACCATTTAGGTGACGATACAATTACGCTCATCGTTTCATGAGCATTATGAATATATTATTTCAAAAATATCAAAAAAGATAAATTACTTCTATAGAGATTCCCATAAACACTATACTTCGTTCCCATTTTTTACATTATTCAGCAAACTTGTTTACAGCTAATGAAAACATATTTTCAAAATTACAAATTCTCCAAAATAAAACTGTCAGAATCATTTTAAATAAACAAATATGCTGGGATTAAATCTATGTTAGAAAAACTACACTGGCTGAGTGACATATAAATCCGAAACCCCAGTTTAAATGGTTTTATTTTAATAAAATTTTGTATAAGTACTTAATAAGTAAATGATAAAAATTCATCCTCCAACGCGCCTAGGCATGCTTCTGATCAGGTGGTCAATGTCCTCCTGTGGTATCTCATTCCAGGCAACCACCAACTCCTTTCGAAGTGCTTCTAGAGTCTGAGGAGGACGTTGCAAATTGAGCAATCTCTTACGCATCATATCCCACACGTGCTCAATTGGGGATAAGTCGGGAGATCTTGGTGGCCATGGTAACAATGTGACATCATTATGTTGAAAGAAGTCTATTGTGACTCTTGCAACATGTGGTCGGGCATTATCTTGTTGGAAAGTTGGATCTGCCAGGGTGTCAAGATACGGTAAAAGATGGGGTTCTAGAACTTCGTGGATATAACGCTGCGCGTTCATGTTACCTCTGATGAAGATTAAAGGTGAATTGGAACCATAAGCTATAGCACCCCAAACCATAACTCCAACAGTATGATGAACATGTTTTTCAACAAAAAACTGTGGATTCCTCCTTTCACCACGTCGCCTTCTAACCCTGGCATGACCATCGTGCATGCCTAAACAAAATCGAGACTCGTCACTAAAGACAATACTGTTCCATTCCTGATCCCAGAGTGACCGTTCTCTGCACCACTCAAGGCGATTACGTCGGTGTTCTCGAGTTAAAGGGAAGACCCAGTGTGGCCGGTATGAAAACAAGCCAAAACTTCTGATTCGTCGGTAAACACTTCGCATGCCAATAGGTCTTCCGTGTTCTGCAAACCATTCATTTGCAATGGACCTGGTAGTGGAGAAACGGTCCCTTAAGGCCAATAATCTTAGGCGGCGATCGTCACGGTCTGTTGTTCTACGGCGGCGTCCAGTGCCCCTTGCTCTTTGCGTACGGCCTTCTCGAAGCCATGCCTGGCAACACCTAACCACAGTGTCTACACTTCATTGCACTCTAACTGCAATTGCCCGAAAAGAAAGTCCAGCTTCCCGAAGTCCCACTATATGGCCCCTATCAAACTCACTAAGTTGACGAAATCGTACAGGTCTCCGTACTCTAGGCATCGTAACCGATCGTAAAGGATGTCAAGAACCAAAATCCGCCAACGTTGATTCTTTACTGCGGCTGAAATATTCATTTTTACAGCGTTAGTGAATTAAAAAAAAAGCAGTATAAAAACCGGAATATCCAACCCAACTGGATTTATATGTCACTTAGTATATATAGCCAGTATAGATTTTCATCTGCAAAATTGTAATAGTAGCATAACCACCAAATCTGTATTTCAAAAAGGAGTTTTTGTATTTAATAAATTGAATAATGATATTAAACAGTTTTCGAATTTAAAAATGTTTAATTAGAAAATCACTTTATGAATGCTCAAAATGTATAGTGATGTAATTTTAATAGACAAGAATGTAAAATTACAGAAAATGGATTTAACAAAAAAAGCGTAAACGAATAATTATACAAAATTGACATTGTAGCATAAATGCTAAATAAATCTTCAACGAACAAACAAACAATAACGTTCAAATGCTCATTTTACATTTGCATGTCACAGTACGCTGCAACAGTTGTCATCGGTTTTCGAAATTTATAACAATTTCAAAACTCTTGCAAATTGCACGTTTTTCGAAATTCCAAAAATTTTCGAAATGCATCAAAATTTTTAATTTCTTTACATTTTCAAGTTGAATTTGAATGTTGAAATCCTTCAAGATTATCAAGATTTTCAAAATTTTCATCATTTTCCAAATTAGAAATTTTTGAAATTTTAAAAATTTATAATAATATCTAGTAAAAATATAGGAATCTATAGAAAACACCTTTGATAGGACAGCCAGCCCAATAGTGTAATCCTGAAAATAATTGAGATGCATTTCTAGCAGGAACTATAAAACTGGTGCCTTGGAACAATATTCCATCCATACTTCTTGGGCCATCCTGTACATGGACTGAATTATAATATTAGCATTTTGGAGCGCTTACGAATATAGACTCGTTAATCTTCAGATAGATATGAATGCTTAAGGAGAGCCAACATCCGCGTTTAGGTAATTATCAAAAAGGATGCTAGACAGAGAAATTGATGAATTATTCATTAACCTATGTTTGACCACTGTATCAATAACCTCTAAACAATCTCGAGCAGCTTAGCTACAACGTCGTAAATTATGATTAGTGGATAATCTTCAAGGTACACTTTAAACTTCGTAACCGCCAAAAAAAAAACAGTCTGATTAGGAATCTCTACGATCTTTACGGCGGTGTGATGATTATTGCAGGTACATAGTTATCTCTATTCGATCAGTATATTCTCATTTATTGCCAAGAATATGTGTTGTTTCTTGAATTTTATGTTTATAGTTTCTATGCTTATTTTTTGGTCAGTGAAATCACATACCATTTCGTATAAAGGTCATCTTAGATTTAGGTTAGTTGTTTATGTACACAGTACATATTTTGCTTCGATTTCTCGTCGCATGTCCCTGTTTTCAACAGCCTGCCTGGAAGATAATTCTTAATATTTTTCGTCTGATTGTTTCATGGTGTACATAGAAATGACAGTGTTATCAGTTTCTTTTTTGCTAAAGAATGCATTTTTCTGCATTTCTATGCATTTTTCTTCAAGCGTAACTTGTTAACAAATAATAGTATAACTCTAAAATTGTATGCAAATATTCCACTTTTATGAAAGAATTGTGCGGGTGAATGTTTTTTCTACTTCAAAAAAAATCTTCGATTTTATGAAAACTGAGGTTTCAAAAAAAAACAAGATTTTCTGAAAAGAAGAATTCTGACATATAATTTGAGAGCGGTACTAATTTTTGTTAACAAGCTACGATTAAAAAAATGCATTTTTTTACTAAAAAATTGATTACATTGGCTTTGTTAGATCCAAAATGAACGACATATTTTTGAATTCAAAATAACGTTTTCGTCTGTCTATAAAATACTTTATCAAAGTAATGCATTACAAAATGCAGCAACCTCACATTGAGGCTTTGCTTTTTTATGCCAGGAATAACAAAAGTGACGGAACGGCTCTTCATTTTTACAATGTATACTAAGTGACATATAAATCCGAACACCCAGTTAAAATGGTTTTATTTTAATAAAAGTTGCTGAATGTATTTGTCTTACTGTAAATAACAAGTGAAAAAATTTTCAGCCTTATCAGTTGGACATTCCGGTTTTTATACTGCTTTTTTTTAATTCACTAACGCTCTAAAAATGAATATTTCAGCCGCAGTAAAGAATCAACGTTGGCGGATTTTGGTTCTTGACATCCTTTACGATCGGTTACGATGCCTAGAGTACGGAGACCTGTACGATTTCGTCAACTTAGTGAGTTTGATAGGGGCCGTATAGTGGGACTTCGGGAAGCTGGACTTTCTTTTCGGGCAATTGCAGTTAGAGTGCAAAGAAGTGTAGACACTGTGGTTAGGTGTTATCAGGCATGGCTTCGAGAAGGCCGCTCGCAAAGAGCAAGGGGCACTGGACGCTGCCGTAGAACAACAGACCGTGAAGATCGCCGCCTAAGATTATTGGCCTTAAGGGACCGTTTCTCCACTACCAGGTCCATTGCAAATGAATGGTTTGCAGAACACGGAAGACCTATTGGCATGCGAAGTGTTTACCGACGAATGAGAAGTTTTGGCTTGTTTTCATACCGGCCACAGTGGGTCCTCCCTTTAACTCGAGAACACCGACGTAATCGCCTTGAGTGGTGCAGACAACGGTCACTCTGGGATCAGGAATGGAACAGCATTGTCTTTAGTGACGAGTCTCGATTTTGTTTAGGCATGCACGATGGTCGTGCCAGGGTTAGAAGGCGACCTGGTGAAAGGAGGAATCCACAGTTTTTTGTTGAAAGACATGTTCATCACACTGTTGGAGTTATGGTTTGGGGTGCTATAGCTTATGGTTCTAGGTCACTTTTAATCTTCATCAGAGGTAACTTGAACGCGCAGCGTTATATCCACGAAGTTCTAGAACCCCATCTTTTACCCTATCTTGACACCCTGGCAGATCCAACTTTCCAACAAGATAATGCCCGACCACATGTTGCAAGAGTCACAATAGACTTCTTTCAACATAATGATGTCACATTGTTACCATGGTCACCAAGATCTCCCGACTTATCCCCAATTGAGCACGTGTGGGATATGATGGGTAGGAGATTGCACAATTTGCAACGTCCTCCTCACTCTAGAAGCACTTCGAGAGGAGTTGGTGGTTGCCTGGAATGAGATACCACAGGAGGACATTGACCACCTGATCAGAAGCATGCCTAGGCGCGTTGGAGAATGCGTAGCACATCAGGGTGCATCCACACATTATTTATTAAAGGTCAAAGGGCTTTAAAGCAGTGCAATCATTTTGAAATTTTTATCATTTACTTATTATGCTTCATTAAGTACTTATACAAAATTTTATTAAAATAAAACCATTTAAACTGGGTGTTCGGATTTATATGTCACTTAGTATATATTGAAAAAATATTTTTGATTATTCTGAATAGAATATATTTATAGAAGTTATAAACATATGCATATATTTATAAGCCAATTTTAAAATATTTACATATTGTTACTTTGGTAGCCCACGACCAAGGTTCCACCTTTGTGGGTCTGTGATTCAATATCATTCACGTCTAATGTGATCAAAACAGGTCCCAAAACAGTGCCTATGGGCCTTGGCCTGTTGTTGTTATGGTCGGTCTTCAATCTTTCTCTGGTTATGTTTCGTCTGTCAACGAAATTTCATCTTGTAGCAATGAAAACGTCTAGATTAGCCTCGAGGCATATCGAATAAATTCAATTAAGAGCTTTTTAAATTCAGTGGAAAAGCTATGCCCGCTATGCAGGGTGCCGTGCTGTTGACATCGAAAAATTAATGATTATATTCAAATAGCAGCGGCCCGACGTACATTTAACCAATTAAATCTCGTAAACGAATGAGGTTGATCTTATTTCAAAGATAAGAATGTGATAATTTAATGGTGCATTATACTTATTAAACTTATTCACATTTGAAACTTGTAGACACATAATAATGATAACGAATTACATCAAGCTGTTTGGTTGTTCATGCGGTTATACCCTGCAATCACAGAGTAGCGCAAAATGAACGTTATGGCTCGAACTTTTTATAACCCTATTTTAGCGATGACTAAAACGAATACGTTATGAAAATGCGCTATAATGATGGAAAGTTAGGTTAGGGTGACAACATCTCTTTATCGTCATCCACGATATGCTTCTCGGAGACCTAGGGTTCCTCATAAATTCATAACTACGATTTCGTCGTGGATGTTGCCTTCCACCACTTACGTGCAAGGATGTAACCAACTCAGAGGCTAAGGCGGAAGTGCTTGCCAAGATCTTTGCTGTCAACTCCACCTTGTACGTCCCCCCAACGTCAACGCGAGTGTTCCCCAGGAATCGGTCTTGTCTCCGACATTGTTTGACTTTTCTTGGGAAAACTACTTCCTCTTTGCCTTAACGCTGCTGAATTTTTTACGAAAAGATTCCGGTCACCCTGTATGACAAACCGACCGCTAGATTTTCGCGCGATCCGCGACTCCAAAAGCAGCAACGCACACCTGAACACGAGACGTCTTCAAATAATTACATACTTAACTTCCATCAGTGGATGCACTTTCTTGATTTCCACGAACAAGTCCATGTTAATTCCTTTGCTGGTACGCATCAGAATCTGTATATTAAAAGATGTACATGGCTCGTTTGTTTATCCGTTTTATATTAATGAGGCGATCACTGTTAAAAGGATGTGCAAATGCACGAGATTGCATCGTCGGTCGATAGGAATTTTTATCCCTCGTGTAATCTTACGTAAAAGAAGCGACGTTTGTCGAATGATTCTGCAGTTGGTGTGGGAAGTAAAATGGGAAAAGTAGAAAAAATTATAAGAGTTAATATACCGAAAATCACCTATATAAAAGTTTCATGATAAAAGAATTAGTAGAAGATTGCAAAATTTTAAAAATTAGAATGTTATTACACAAAACATGTTGAGAAATCATCCGTTTCCAAGGATGAAGTCAATAAGCAGAAACATCTGTCGCTCGGGTTACCAATCCATTTATTTCTGCTCTTGCTACTATATTGCAGGCAAGTCCACGATTGTCCTTAGTTGTTCACCCAAGTTTATTCCGAATGTATGGCAGTATTTACACATAGAGATACGGAATCAAGAATAATAAGGACGTTAATATATCATCGATATAAATATTTGAACTTTATATAGAACGGTTTATTATCGGATGAACACATACACATATACTGTAACCCACCAAACACAAAACAAGTTCGCAAAACGAAAGGATACATAAAATCGATAAAACCCAACATCGAAAGCAAAATAAATAGTGAATTGAATCTAATTCTGGTAGCGGGACATGTGCGATCTCGATAAAAATGCCTTTGATCAAACGTGTTTGTCGTCACGTAACGGTGAAAAAGTTTACGAAACGGTAATCAAACGCAAGCTCTGTACTTTGTCTGAAGATAAAGCAGATTTTTCTGTTTATCAGAAACCGCGAATATCTGTGAGTATTAAACACGTATGGCAAGATGCACGGTTAGTTTACCAAGTTTGGAGAGATTTGCAAAGAAAATGCAAGCACAACGCAAGATGTGATTGAGCAACGTCGGCAAGAGTTTGTTACGATCTTGGACATACTGCTTCATATTGCGCATGTCGTGGCCCTTCTGTTGATGGAAATAAATGAAGATAGGATCTTCTTGCAGCGGCAGAGAGAACCAGGTCGACCTGGTCATTTAGCTGGGGTGGACAATAAATTAGCCAAAAAAAAAACAAGAAAAGACGCGTCTTAGGAACACCGAAGAACAAAAACGGCAAGCTAAATATACTAAGTGACATATAAATCCGAACACCCAGTTTAAATGGTTTTATTTTAATGAAAGTTGGTGAATGTATTTATCTTACTGTAAATAACAAGTGAAAAAATTTCCAGCCTTATCAGTTGGACATTCCGGTTTTTTACTGCTTTTTTTTAATTCGCTAACGCTCTAAAAATGAATATTTCAGCCGCAGTAAAGAATCAACGTTGGCGGATTTTGGTTCTTGACATCCTTTACGATCGGTTACGATGCCTAGAGTACGGAGACCTGTACGATTTCGTCAACTTAGTGAGTTTGATAGGCGCCGTATAGTGGGACTTCGGGAAGCTGGACTTTCTTTTCGGGCAATTGCAGTTAGAGTGCAAAGAAGTGTAGACACTGTGGTTAGGTGTTGTCAGGCATGGCTTCGAGAAGGCCGTACGCAAAGAGCAAGGGGCACTGGACGCCGCCGTAGAACAGCAGACCGTGAAGATCGCCGCCTAAGATTTATTGGCCTTAAGGGACCGTTTCTCCACTACCAGGTCCATTGCAAATGAATGGTTTGCAGAACACGGAAGACCTATTGGCATGCGAAGTGTTTACCGACGAATGAGAAGTTTTGGCTTGTTTTCATACCGGCCACACTGGGTCCTCCCTTTAACTCGAGAACACCGACGTAATCGCCTTGAGTGGTGCAGACAACGGTCACTCTGGGATCAGGAATGGAACAGTATTGTCTTTAGTGACGAGTCTCGATTTTGTTTAGGCATGCACGATGGTCGTGCCAGGGTTAGAAGGCGACGTGGTGAAAGGAGGAATCCACAGTTTTTTGTTGAAAGACATGTTCATCACACTGTTGGAGTTATGGTTTGGGGTGCTATAGCTTATGGTTCCAGGTCACCTTTAATCTTCATCAGAGGTAACATGAACGCGCAGCGTTATATCCACGAAAATCTAGAACCCCATCTTTTACCCTATCTTTACACCCTGGCAGATCCAACTTTCCAACAAGATAATGCCCGACCACATGTTGCAAGAGTCACTTCTTTTAACATAATGATGTCACATTGTTACCATGGCCACCAAGATCTCCCGACTTATCCCCAATTGAGCACGTGTGGGATACGATGGGTAGGAGATTGCTCAATTTGCAACGTCCTCCTCAGACTCTAGAAGCACTTCGAGAGGAGTTGGTGGTCGCCTGGAATGAGATACCACAGGAGGACATTGACCACCTGATCAGAAGCATGTCTAGGCGCGTTGGAGAATGCGTAGCACATCAGGGTGCATCCACACATTATTAAAGGTCAAAGGGCTTTAAAGCAGTGCAATCATTTTGAAATTTTTATCATTTACTTATTATGCTTCATTAGGTACTTATACAAAATTTTATTAAAATAAAACCTTTTAAACTGGGTGTTCGGATTTATATGTTACTTAGTATAAATTGAAGACTCTCGTGGATAAAGGTGTCGTGTAACAAAATCATTGTATGGACAAAATTGACTGACAAAATTTTTTATTGGGACTTTTTATATATTGAAATTTTAAATATTTAGTTCGTTATTATCTTGTTTTTGCAAAAAAGTTACCTCAGAATGAAAGAACCACTCCTTGAGGCTATTTGAATGCAAAAAACAATTTTAAAAAAAATGTTATATGACATCCGTATGCCCTTGTGTCTTCAATTGATTGCTACATATTGTCGTTTGTATTTTTTGTTTTCGATTACTCGTAATAACCTGTGAAACACTTATATTTTCAGGGCATATGTAAATTAGTATGAACATAATTACATATTTCCTAAATCCCTAAATAAGTTTAGTTATTGTTTTTTGAAAGTTCTGATGTTATTTTTATAACAAAATATTAGCTATCCATTGTGATGTTTAATTTACTAAATTTCACATACATATTATACATACAGGGTGATTCACAAGTCGTGACCAAAAATGAAACACGAAAACAATGCACTCTAGGAAAAAACACAAGAGTAATTATTGGTAGCAAACGAAAGCTAAGATTGGAAAAATTGCGCGTTTCGAAAAAAAACAGTGGCTTACTATACTAAGTGACATATAAATCCGAACACCCAGTTTAAATGGTTTTATTTTAATAAAATTTTGTATAAGTACTTAATGAAGCATAATAAGTAAATGATAAAAATTTCAAAATGATTGCACTGCTTTAAAGCCCTTTGACCTTTAACAATGTGTGGATGCACCCTGATGTGCTACGCATTTTCCAACGCGCCTAGGCATGCTTCTGATCAGGTGGTCAATGCCCTCCTGTGGTATCTCATTCCAGGCAACCACCAACTCCTCTCGAAGTGCTTCTAGAGTCTGAGGAGGACGTTGCAAATTGAGCAATCTCCTACCCATCATATCCCACACGTGCTCAATTGGGGATAAGTCGGGAGATCTTGGTGGCCATGGTAACAATGTGACATCATTATGTTGAAAGAAGTCTATTGTGACTCTTGCAACACGTGGTCGTGCATTATCTTGTTGGAAAGTTGGATCTGCCAGGGTGTCAAGATAGGGTAAAAGATGGGGTTGTAGAACTTCGTGGATATAACGCTGCGCGTTCATGTTACCTCTGATGAAGATTAAAGGTGACCTGGAACCATAAGCTATAGCACCCCAAATCATAACTCCAACAGTGTGATGAACATGTCTTTCAACAAAAACTGTGGATTCCTCCTTTCACCACGTCGCCTTCTAACCCTGGCACGACCATCGTGCATGCCTAAACAAAATCGAGACTCGTCACTAAAGACAATACTGTTCCATTCCTGATCCCAGAGTGAACGTTGTCTGCACCACTCAAGGCGATTACGTCGGTGTTCTCGAGTTAAAGGGAGGACCCAGTGTGGCCGGTATGAAAACAAGCCAAAACTTCTCATTCGTCGGTAAACACTTCGCATGCCAATAGGTCTTCCGTGTTCTGCAAACCATTCATTTGCAATGGACCTGGTAGTGGAGAAACGGTCCCTTAAGGCTAATAATCTTAGGCGGCGATCTTCACGGTCTGTTGTTCTACGGCGGCGTCCAGTGCCCCTTGCTCTTTGCGTACGGCCTTCTCGAAGCCATGCCTGACAACACCTAACCACAGTGTCTACACTTCTTTGCACTCTAACTGCAATTGCCCGAAAAGAAAGTCCAGCTTCCCGAAGTCCCACTATACGGCCCCTATCAAACTCACAAGTTGACGAAATTGTACAGGTCTCCGTACTCTAGACATCGTAACCGATCGTAAAGGATGTCAAGAACCAAAATCCGCCAACGTTGATTCTTTACTGCGGCTGAAATATTCATTTTTAGAGCGTTAGTGAATTAAAAAAAAGCAGTATAAAAACCGGAATGTCCAACTGATAAGGCTGAAAATTTTTTCACTTGTTATTTACAGTAAGATAAATACATTCACCAACTTTTATTAAAATAAAACCATTTAAATTGGGTGTTCGGATTTATATGTCACTTAGTATATTTTTATTTGGAAAACTAATGTCACTAATCCCCTGCCACTGGCGTTCGTTAATTTTAAGTAAAGATAATACCATTATTTTTAAACTTCAACGTCCCGTATCTTTTTAATGAAGCCCTGGAGGAAAACATGTTCCATAAAAGACCTCCTTCAAAACGCAATCCTGTGTACGATGTTTCATTCTTGGTCACGACTTGTGAATCACCCTGTATACAAAATTATGTAGATTCCTCGATTTTTTAGGTACTCTATAATCCAAGAAATTTGATAATCCGATATCGCCCCGGAAACGTATGTCGTGTCCACTGTAATTTACAACCAATCTCATCAATCTACATAAAGTTTAAAAAACTCACCTTATTCTGGAACAACTTCCTGAACGTCTCCCTCGAATACCGCTGCTCCCTCAGCACAATCTCACTGCAGCATCTCAAATGCGCCATATGCAACCGTTCCCTCAAACTTTCCTCCTCCATACTGGACATGGGCACCAAAGATCTCCTGCGTTGCGCCAACCGTTCATCTATCTTTGGACCGGATGCCGAGATCGCGACGTTTGAATCTGACCGAATGGAATCCACGCTATTGTCCCGGTTTTCACGCGACCCGCGTCGGGAGAAGTTAGCTTGAACACCGACACTTTCCAGATAAGAGTCTTTCGACGGCAACGCCTCCGGAGTTTGGACGCCGCTATCCACTTGAACTCCAACATTTTGCACGATAGAGCCAATGCTTCGACGCATAGGTTCAGGAAATACTGCTTGATGCTTTGGCTCAGACGCACGACGAACTACATCAGGAAATTGAACCGCATTGCGGTCAGAGTATTCGGAATCGCCGTGGTCGACCTCGGGAAATTGCTGCCAAGCCTTCCTGTGTTCCAGGTAACCTTGTTCTGGCTCCGAACTTCGCCTCAACGTATCAGGAAACTGCTCTTTATTCTTCTCTTTGGGATCTGAATTTCTACGTGGCATGTCCGCAAAGTGTACCGAAGGCCTTCTGGGCGCATCGTTAAAGAAGCTGGAATCAATGTCATCGCTAATCTTGGGACCAGAGTTTCGCCTTGGACCATCAGTGGTTTGATCTGGCCCAGAACCTCGGCGAAGTATACCTTGTGGTTGTGTTGGGGCTTTTCTATCTACACCTTGTTGTAACACCAAAGACAGGTCGTCAGAGGTATGCATAGTCAGTTGATCAAAGTTTGGTCTAAGGGTGTGGCCGTTAGCTTGTTGAGTGAATTGGTTAGACTCAGATCCGGGTCTAGACGTTCGAGAACTTTGATCTGATCCTCTTCTTGGTAACGTTTCTATCCGCGTTCCATCATATTTCATACCTTCATAATGAATCTGTGACCTATGATCAGAAATTTTGTCTAGCATTTGGATACCACTACTTTCTACATAACCTGAGTCACGTCTAGGTACCTCGAACGCACATTCTGCGTTCTGTTCCGGTAACAAATCATTCTTCACTTCTATTTTGGTCTTTTTTTCAACATCACTATTTTTGAAACGTACCCCACATCTGCCTACGATTCGTTTGTCGTCATCAGAATGTCGCCTAGGTATTTCGTAACCAGGCTCTGCGGACAGTTCTTCTGTAGACGGAAATGCCACGAAAGGATTGCTGGATCTTTTTACTGCTCCCACAGTGTTACGCTTATCATCGTCAGAGTTCCGTCTTATCACTACCGGTGTCGATTCTGGCACCTCCACGGAGGAGGACAGTGAAACTTTGTCCATCGACATAGCGATAATCACAAGGCATCCATACAGTGTCAGTACTGGAAAAGGTTCGATAAAGGTACCGATTTTTAGGTTGCTGTATTATATGTATATACTAAGTGACATATAAATCCGAACACCCAGTTTAAATGGTTTTATTTGTGTATAAGTATTTAATGCAGCATAATAAGTAAATGATAAAAATTTCAAAATGATTGCATTGCTTTAAAGCCCTTTGACCTTTAATAATGTGTGGATGCACCCTGATGTGCTACGCATTCTCCAACGCGCCTAGGCATGCTTCTGATCAGGTGGTCAATGTCCTCCTGTGGTATCTCATTCCAAGCAACCACCAACTCCTTTCGAAGTGCTTCTAAAGTCTGAGGAGGACGTTGCAAATTGAGCAATCTCCTACCCATCATATCCCACACGTGCTCAATTGGGGATAAGTCGGGAGATCTTGGTGGCCATGGTAACAATGTGACATCATTATGTTGAAAGAAGTCTATTGTGACTCTTGCAACATGTGGTCGGGCATTATCTTGTTGGGAAGTTGGATCTGCCAGGGTGTCAAGATAGGGTAAAAGATGGGGTTCTAGAACTTCTGATGAAGATTAAAGGTGACCTGGAACCATAAGCTATAGCACCCCAAACCATAACTCCAACAGTGTGATAAACATGTCTTTCAACAAAAAACTGTGGATTCCTCCTTTCACCACGTCGCCTTCTAACCTTGGCACGACCATCGTGCATGCCTAAACAAAATCGAGACTCGTCACTAAAGACAATACTGTTCCATTCCTGATCCCAGAGTGACCGTTGTCTGCACCACTCAAGGCGATTACGTCGGTGTTCTCGAGTTAAAGGGAGGACCCAGTGTGGCCGGTATGAAAACAAGCCAAAACTTCTCATTCGTCGGTAAACACTTCGCATGCCAATAGGTCTTCCGTGTTCTGCAAACCATTCATTTTCAATGGACCTGGTAGTGGAGAAACGGTCCCTTAAGGCCAATAATCTTAGGCGGCGATCTTCACGGTCTGTTGTTCTACGGCGGCGTCCAGTGCCCCTTGCTCTTTGCGTACGGCCTTCTCGAAGCCATGCCTGACAACACATAACCACAGTGTCTACACTTCTTTGCACTCTAACTGCAATTGCCCGAAAAGAAAGTCCAGCTTCCCGAAGTCCCACTATACGGCCCCTATCAAACTCACTAAGTTGACAAAATCGTACAGGTCTCCGTACTCTAGGCATCGTAACCGATCGTAAAGGATGTCAAGAACCAAAATCCGCCAACGTTGATTCTTTACTGCGGCTGAAATATTCATTTTTAGAGAGTTAGTGAATTAAAAAAAAACAGTATAAAAACCGGAATGTCCAACTGATAAGGCTGAAAATTTTTTCGCTTGTTATTTACAGTAAGATAAATACATTCACCAACTTTTATTAAAATAAAACCATTTAAACTGGGTGTTCGGATTTATATGTCACTTAGTATAGATACGTTTGCTCATTTGTCTGTATCAGTTGATTTGTGAAAAAGATATTCCAATATAAATATTTTTCGTGAGAATTTGATATAAAAATGGCGTCAACTAGGTCGACTCTGCATAAGTTAGACCCTCTAAATAAGACAGCGCTGTCCTGCTTGCCTTCGTTGCCCCAGAGTCCAAGCCACTATGCTGATGGGTTACTAAAACAGCACGAAACGGCTGTCCATTGTTGGCTGTCTTTGGGTGGATGGACGAAAGCAACATGGTTTCGTTTCTATCGCTCTGAGTTTTGAAGAAAAACGTAAAAAAGGTCTAACAGAATCACCGAGGTTGGAAGTGTATTAATACACTTACATCAAAAAATTGCGATACATCGTCTCCCAACCCCCTATATCTCTTCACCACCCATTTTTTTCCGAGGAAGTTGGGGCGAAGATTGAGCAAATCTTGCTCGAACATCCGAAACAGGCGGTTGAAATTCCTGAGGCTTCTGAGAAAGCTGAGACGGGCAATCCAAAATCGTCGTAGGGAAAAATCAACCAAAGCCTAAGACTGCACCAGAAAAATGCTCATCCTCATGTCTCACAACAAATGAAGGACAGTCGTTATTGAAATCGGTAATAGGGGGATCAAAACGAGTTAAAAAGTTCATACGACCCATGGTCCAAAAGTCAATAGATTTTTGTCTAAACGGCTTTATAGTTTACAACTTTAAGTGCCTTATATCGACCACAATCTTACTAATTTTTATAATCTAATCTAAAACGTTTTTAAATTGTGTAATTAACAAATAAGTGGCATTAAGTTTTTCTAAGTTAAGCCAAAATGTGTAGTCAGTAAGTAAGTAAGTTTCATTAAAATAAATATTTAAAATACACATGACAACAGCGCGTCGGTCATCTTCACTCTTATCGAACCAGCAATCGATCGCAAACGGTAACAGTGGTTAGTATGTTGTTTTGTTTTTGTTCGCGTACGTGGTCGTGTTTATTTACAACGTTTTCGAATCAAGAGTTCGCCGACATGTTGTTAGCTTACGGTGAAGCTCGTCAGAATTGAAATCTTGCAGCTCACCCCCTCTATCACCCATTTAAATAATGACTATCGTCACGTTTACACCCTGTATAGAGATCAACTTTTCCAATGGCGGATTCGTTTTTTCAAAGAAAGAATTCCTAGTGCCTGGAAAAAATGTGGGAACCTTATTTTTGAAACAACGCTCGTTTAAGATACACAAAGCATCTCATTTTAGAAATTTTTCACGATTACTATACTTCCCCGTCAGTGGGCGTGGGAAGTGAAATCGTAAGCGTGAAATCCAAGATATCTAAGATCGTCGAAATAATAGTCATTTGTCAATTGCTATCAGGTGTAGAAATTGATCAAAAGTAGAATTTTCAGAATTTATTTAGAGATAATTCCGAACATTTCGTAGCCGCGGTGTTCCGGCATTTAGGTTTCTGCCTGCGCGGCTGCTTCGATATAAAAAAAAGACTAAAATGAGGAAACATTAAATCCATTTTAATTCGCCAGATTATCATTTGATTGCTTATTTTAAAGACATTCTTTCAAATTCCTGTATAAATTTTTGCATTTATTTATTGTATACTCAGGGAACTTAAAGACCATTTATTTAATTAGGAATCGGAAAAACTGTGTTTCTGGTAGTTTTGAAGATTTATTGAGTTAAAGGTTAAATAAAAAATCATCATCATTAGTGGAGATCAATACATTTGGCAGCAAAGTAATTTAAAAATGAAGAATGAACTGACCCGTTAGGCAAGTAAATGATGAAAATGCCCACCATGACTCTCCATGCAATAATAAAGATTTCGGTCAAAACGTTTCCGCACATTTTGCAATATTTGAGGAGTAATTTGAAGGCACTCCTTCACAATTCTTTGTCGCAGGTCTTCTAATGATGTTGGCTGAGTAGCATAGATTTTGCTTTTAAAATGACCCCACATAAAGAAATCCAAAGGTGATAAATCTGGCGATCTTGGGGGCCATTCAATGGCACCTCTTCTACCAATCCATCGATCTGGAAACGTCTGATCTAAATATTGTCGAACACGTAATGCGTAATGTGGTGGGGCACCATCCTGTTGGAACATCAACCTATTCGCAATGTACCGCCGATCATTCTGATTTTCAATTATGGCTGTTAATGCAGGATCTATGGCGTCTTCCAGTCATTCCAAATACATTTCACCGGTTAAATTTCCAGGTAAGAAAAAAGAACCAACAAAATGATCGCCAAAAATAGCAGCCCAAACATTTAATTTTTGTGGCTGTTGTGTATGAACCGCATGATAAATTCTGGGATTAGAATCGGACGAATATCGGCAGTTACGATTTACTACGCCACTTAAGAAATATGAATTTGCGGATACTTAACGTAGGATCTACATAAACTTGCCCTAAAACAACCACTTCTATTGCTTCGTTCCTTATGGGATTTTCAATGTTGCGTTTTTTATTGAAGACTGACAAAGTTTCCCGAAATTTAGCTACAAGTTCTAGATCATATTTTCGATGGACGTTACTGTTCTCATGTCGCTGATTAAATATTTCTGCTGTTCTGATTAATTCCGAAAAATATTTCGATAATTTCAACTCTTTCTGCTGTGGAATATACCATGGTTAATTTATGTAATAAAGCGTTACAAGTTATTTTAGCAACAAAGTTTAGTCAAATCAATCGCAAACTATGTACTAAATTCCTATTTAAAGAGATATTTCCTTATCTTTCTTCAAGAAATAACTTTTTTGCCACAAAAAAACGCTCCAATAGCTATTCTCAACAACAAAATGATAAACAAACCATGTGCGTAGTGAAGACAAGCATTTACGTATTGAGTAAATACTTTTAGTCAAATTTCTTCTGAAAGTAGTACAAACTAATCTGATGTACCTATTAAAGTCTACTTTAAGCTTTAAATCAATAAATCTTCAAAACTACTGAACTGAAGCTCATGTATTTTACATCATTATAAAGGGAATTAAAAGACCTTTAAAATAAGGTATCACTCGACCCCCCTTTCCATTTAAGATTTTGGGGGTGGTGTCACCCCGCTTAGGGGGCTGCACGTGCTAACGTGATTTTTTGTAAAACTTGTTTGCCAGTAAATGCGTCTGTTTCGTTTTCGATGCGCCACCCTGTATATACTAGTCAAAAATTAGCCTTTTATAGAAAATTGCATACCTCAGAGTTTTTGACTACCCAAAATTGAGTATACAATGACTTGACAAACGATTAAAAAGAAGTTTGACGATTTTGACAAAAATAATTAGTCTCGTTCCATCAAAGTCATAGCAGAGATTTCTGAAATCATGATGGTTTAAAAATAACAGAGGTATAGATAGGCAGACGAACATTATCAAACATTAAAAACACTTATTACATAGGATTTAAAATTATTTGAGATCATGGTACCTACTCGCTTATAGTAAAAGTATTGTAGACAGGGTGTTTTCAGAGATAAATCATTTATTTTAACTGCTTGTATGACTCATCAAAATCATCATCATCATCATAATAAAATAAATAGTAAAAGAATAAAAATTTA